ACAGGGTGATGATTGGATCATCTCTTATTGGAGATGATCATTGCCTGGCATTTATGTTGCACTTGTGTTACTTGTTACTTGCCACCTATCAGCCCAAAATTGAGTATTGTCCAGATGTTGTTGCATTTGAACATGGACTGCTTCAGTATCTGAGAAGTCGCGAATGGTGCTGAACATTGTGCAATCATCGGCAAACATCCCCACTCCAGACTTTATAATGGAGGGGCGTCCTTGACAAAGCAGCTGAAGATGGTGGGGCTCAGCACATTGCCCTGAGGAAGTCTTGCAGCGACGTCCTGGAGCTGAGATGACTGACCTCCTCTGAGAAGCACAACAGTCTTCCTATGTGCCAGGTATCACTCCAACCAGCAGAGAGTTTGCCACTTGATTCCCACTGATTCTAGTTTTGCTAGGGCTCATTGATGTTAAGAGCTGTCACTCTCACCTTACCTGTGGAATTCAGTGCTTATTTTGAAGCAAGGCTGTAATGAGGTTGGGAGCTGAGTGGCCTGGAGGAACCCAAACTGGGTGTCACTGAGCAGGTTATTGCTGAGCAGGTGCTGCTTGATAGCACTGTTGATAATACCTTTGTATCACTTTACTGATGGTTGAGAGTAGACTGATGGGGTGGTAATTAACTGGGTTGGATTTGTCCTGATTCTTGCTTACAGGACATATTCGGGCGATTTTCCACATTGTCAGATAGATGCCAGTGTTGTAACTGTACTGGAAGAGCTTGGCTGGAGGAGTGGCAAGTTGTGGACCACAAGTTTGCAGTATTGTTGTTGGAATGTTGTTAGGGCCCATAGGCAATGTCCAGTGCCTCCAGCTGTTTCTTGATATCACGTAGAGTGAATTGAATGCTGGTGATGACTGGAGGAAGCCAAGGTGGCACTTGGCACTTCTGGCTGAAGATTGCAACAAGTGCTTCAGCCTTACCTTTTGCATTGATGTGTTAGGCTCTTCCATCATTGAGGATAGGGATGTTTGCAGAGTCTCCTCCTCCAATGAGTTGTTTTAATTGTCCACCACCATTCCCGACTGGATGTGGCAGGGCTGCAGAGCTAAGATCTGATCACTTGGTTGTGGGATCACTTATCTCTATCTATCACTTACTGTTGATGTTTTTCAACATTAAGGTAGTCCTGTTTGGTAGGTGCACCAGGCCGACAACACATTTTTTGGTATGCCTGGTGCTGCTCCTGGTATGCTCAACTGCAATCTACATTGAGCCAGCGTTGATCACCTGGCTTGATAGTAGTGTTTGAGTGGGTATATGCCGGGCCATGAGATTGCAGATTGTGCTGGAGTACAATTCTCCTGCTATCAATGGCCCACAGTCCTTCATGGATGTCTAGTATTGAGTTGCTGGATCTGTTTGAAGTCTGTACCAATTAACATGGTGATCATGCCGCACAATATAATGGAGGGTGTTGTCAATGTGAAGGTGGGACTTTGTCTCAGCAAGGACTGTGCAGTGGTCACTCTTACTGCTATTGTCATAGACAGATGCATCTGTAGCCAGCAGATCATGGGGAGGCGATAGCCTAGCAGTAATGTGGCTGGACTGTTAATCCAGAGATCCAAAGGATGTTCTGCGACCAGGTTTGAATCCAGCCATGGCAGATGGTGGACTTGAATTCAGTAAAAATCTGGAATGTCTAATGATGACCATGAAACCGTTGTCATTCGTCAGGAAAAACCCATTTGGTTCACTAAAGTCCTTTAGGAAAGGAAGCTGCCTTACTTGCCTACGTGTGACTCCAGACCCATAGCAACATGATTGACTGTTAACTGCCCCAGGGCAGTTAAGGATGGGCAACGATTTCTGGCCTAGCCAGTGATGCCGTCATCCCATGAATGAATTTTAAAAAATGTTGTTAAGGATGACGTCAAGTATGTTTTTATTAGTTCCCTCACCACCTGCTACAGTCCCAGTCTAGCAGCGATGTCTTTTTGGGACCTGATCTGCTTGATTAGTCGTGTGGCTGCCAAGCCGTTCCTGGTGGTGGGCATTGAAATCCCCTGCCTAGAGTACGTTTTGTACCCTTGCCACCCTCAGTTCTTCCTCTGAGCATTGTTCAGTATGGAGGAGAACTGATTCATCAGCCAATGGAGGGCGGTTCGTGGTAATCAGCAGGAGGTTTCCTTGCCCTTGTTTAACCTGAAAGTATGAGACTTCATGGTGTCCAGAATCAATGTTGAGGACTCCCAGGGCAACTCCCTACTGACTATACCAAAAAAAACTGTGCTCCTACCTTTTTTTGGGTCTGTCCTGCTGGTGGGACAAGACACAGCTCGGGATGGAGATGATGGTGTCTGGGACATGTTTGTGAGGTATGATTCTCTTGAGTATGAATATGTCGGGCTTAACTAGTCCGTGAGACATTTCCCTCAGTTTGGGAAGTAGCCCACAGATGTTGGTAAGGAGGACGTTGCAAGTTGGACAGAGCTGTTCTTGCCATTGTTGTTGGCAGGTGGTCCTTCTGATTTCATTTCTTTGTTGAGACAAAGAGACAACTGAGTGGTGTTTCTTTTGCTAGGCCAATTCAGAGGGCATTTGAGAGTCAACCTTATCTGTGGGTCTGGAGTCACATGTTGGCCAGATCAAGTGAGACTGTCAGATTTCCCTCCTGGAAGGAAGGCTAGTGAGTCTGTGGGTTTTTCTGATAATTGGCAATGGTTTATTTTGGTCATCAGTAGACTTGTAATTCCAGATATTTTTGTTGAATTCAGTTTCCATCATCTGCCATGGCAAGATTTAAACCCAGGACCTCAGAGCCTTAGCTGAGTTTCTGGATTAATAGTCTACTGATAATGCCACTAAGCTGTCAGCTCCCCCATTCCTTCATTGAATTAAATCAATGTGGAGTAAAGACAGTGTGATTAACAGCGACTGCAAAACTTCTGGATTGTAAACTTTTTAAAAAAAATCTTGTTCACTAATGTCCTTTAGGAAAGCAAATCTGCCATCGTTACCCAGTGTGGCCTTTGTGTGATTCCAGATTCACAAGAAATGTGGTTGACTTCTAATTATTTTCTGAAATGCTGTAGCAGGCCACCCAGTTGGATCAAGACAGGGTTGAGAAATTTCTGTTATTTAGCAGATTTCTGACTTCCCCATCTCACAAGTTCACCACTTTAAATATCTTTACCAGCCTTCCTATTGGGTTTTTAAAAAATTGCAGCTCTGCAGTTAGAGAGTGTGGGAACTGATCACAAAGTTGCGATTGGAGGAGTAGCCAGCATGGAAAAGGCAAGGCTGCTGCTCCAATCACAGATTCTGTTCCTTTGACACTGGCCTCTCCACCTCCCCCAGTCACAAGACCCCTCTCATGATCTTGCTGCTCCTCCAGAGGCAGAATGTGCAATTTGGAGAAGTTGGTGCACACAAAAGTCTTCAGGGAAGGAGAAAGGTGAGATGATTGTCTTTTTTGTCCCAATAATAATAAAGGTCCAGCAAGTACTTTGTGACTGTTATTTGCCCTGGGAATTACTTGTCAGTAGACATGATGTTTGAGTCAGTCAGTCTGCTGTCTGTTGTGATGGAGGTTCTGGGCATTTTCTACCAATGCACAGTTGGATGTGTTTAAGAAAAACTTTGATGCCTCTAATGTTTCTTTTAGGAAAAAAAACACCTCCATTCACTGAAACCCAATAAAGGTTTCAATTATCTAGACCTTTTAGAGTTTCAATATCTGAAAAGCAATGTGTAATTGATCAAGATCACAAACAGATTTCAATCAATAATGGTTGTCTGTGCTCTCAAACAAGCTTCATCATGTATTGAAAATCTGAGAATCTTTACTATTTTGCATTATTTTGGGCCCTAGCTTGTTTGGTAGCTCTGACTGATCTCTGCTAAGGTTTCACTGCTTGTTTGTATAGGCTTCACTGGTTTTCAGCCTGTTTCCTTTTTTTCAGGTTGGAAAGTGGGTTGAATATTTAAACTGTCTGAATGGTTGCAGCTCAATAGAAGTTTCAGGACACAATTATTTTTAAACTTATTGGTGTTAACAAAATGAAAAGATATGAATTATCATCTTTTAAAGCTTTTTTTTTAATGAGATCATTGTTTCTATCCACTATAGAGTGGGTGAATGGGCATGAAAGCATACTATTGCTTGGTTGGTCATGATGGGCCATTGGAGTTGGTTGAAGAAGCTTTACACGGCTTGGGGTACAAAAGGCTATAGAGCGTCACAGGAGGGACATACTTTGGGATGGAGGACCTGAGGAGCCAGGGTGCGCATTTGAAGGACACACCTTAGTATGGGGAACAACTGGAACACCCTTTGAACTTATCTTCCAAAAGGTTCTTGTATGCACAACTATGGTACATGTTGATTTAAAAGCCTGACTGAACTTCAAGAAAATTGTGCAGTAGGCTCTGCTGAGCTTCACAATGGAGCTATCCAGGTTGAGAGTGTTGGGTACAGGATTGTGACCTGATCCAGTCTGCACTTTTTAAAGACCCTGGTTAAAATAGGAAGACCCAAGTTTGGAGTTGGGAATTCTGGAATTGGGTTCTGGCTGTCATTTTTTTTTAAGGGTTCCCAAGTCAACTTGATTGTGTGAAAATCTCTCGCTCTCGCTCTCTGTCTTCCGCATCCCCTCCCAAAAGCCATCTTTTCCCACTCCCCTTCTGCATTCTGCCTTTGACCACTCTCATGCTTGGTCAAGAAAACAACTCGTTGCCATATTCCAGTAGTTGGGGGTGGAAAATAAATACTGGCCTTATTACTAGCAGTGCGCTGTGAGTAAATATGGAGAAACGTATTAGTCCCACTTTACAAATCATATTTTTGCCTCATGTTGCCTTGGTTAGAGGTGACTAGAGAAGGCATGAGGTGTTGAACTGTGGCAGCAAGGCTAAGGGAAAAGTGAAAGCTCATTTGATGTCTAAAGGATTAAGTTCCAATGAGAAAAACAACATTTTTGAAGCTGCAGAGGAAAAATTGCAAACAAATGATATTTTGACTTTGCTTTTATTGTTTTAGCCCAGAGTTGGTGGAAGCTAGCCCTGCAGTTGCTGAGAAGAACAGCTACTCAAATCACAACTATGGGACTGCACAACATCATGGGTATAGAGGTCTGCCATATGCTGTAAGTAAGCAAGTTCTGTTTCACCAGAAGCTATGCTAGCCATATAGTCCTATCTGGATGACAATTAGATGCCTGTCTGAAGCACAAAACAGTGTATACATTATACCTCCAGTCAGGCCTCCAAGCAGCACCCAGCACAAATGTGGCTCCAGAATGCCTTTGGGGTCACTTGGGTGCAGGACACATGATCAGATCATCCAAAGTTCAGTGGGTAAATCCCACCATTTTGGTGATCATTCACATCAGGAAAATCCCATTTTAAAGCCATTTAAGTCTTAAACATGCAGTTGATCTGAAAGAGGAAAAAAAAATTGCACAAACATGAAAGGACATCACTTCCTAACCAGCAAGATGAACATATGTGTCCCCGAGCTCTACATATGAAATAGCTAGTACAAACTGAGACTGTTGTACAAGATTTAACAGGTATGAATTAGGGAAAGATAGAAAAAAGGATTAAAAAGTATTTGAAAGGGAGGCGATGAGAATTAGAAGTGGGGGAAAATATCCCAAAGTGATTAGTATTAGGTAGTGGAATTCCACAGGGTTCTGTTTTGGAATTGTTGCTGTTTACTGTGCACTTCAGTGATTTGGATAGAGATAATTTGTTGATGCTACTGAAATGTGAGGCGCAGTAAATAATTCTGAGGATCAAAGGAAATTGCAAATGGATACTTATCAGGCAACATGAGTAGAATTCATTGTTACTAACTGAAATTTAGTACATGTTAATAAAAGGAAAATAACTGTACTTCAAATGGGGGGAAAAAAAAACTAAATGACATGGAGGAGTGAAAAGATTTGGGAATTAAGGTTCATAGACATTAAAAGCAATACCTCAGTGGATAAGAGACAACACAGTGTGAATTTTCTGAAGAAGGGTCCTGACCCAAAACATCAACTTTCCTACTCCTCTGATGCTGCCTGGCCTGCTCCACGCTGTGTTATCTCTGGCTGCAGCTTCTACAGTTTTTGCTACCTCAGTGGACAAGGTCATTTGCAAAAAGAAAGCCGGATTATTCTTTTGAAATAATTTAACCAATTTAAGTTAATCGTTAAACTTGTCACATGGCTCATTTACGCTTGCTCGACATGTATCATATGCTGTGATGTACTCTGCAACAGAATGAGTATTTTTGCATCTTTTTTAAATTACTCAATTGGTTTGGAAACCTATAGTTCCCTATTACTTTCTCTGTGACACTGCCTCAACTCATCAAACAATATTGCCAAACAATAAAAACCTCTTTTCTTGCAAGATAAATTGTAACGATTGTTTGAAATTTGTCAATCTTAAAACCTGCAGTGTATTTAAAATAAATTGAATTGTTTTTGTTGTCTTCTATTGCAAAATGCCAGAAACATTTATGATGAAAGATCACAACTTGAAATGCAAACTCTGAGCTTGATTTTTGTGTTAAGACCAAGAAATGTGAGTTGGGCAATTTCCCAATTTCAAATTGCAAGCCTGACACCTTTGTTCATATCTGCCATATTTCTGTTTCCTAAAGGCATGGGTGAGGATGGTTTGGGTTTTCTGAGTCCTGAGGCACTCTCCAAGGAGTGCAGGTGTCAAAGTGGGCTGGTGTGAAGGCCGATCTTGGTTTGCTTGGATATTAGCCCAGATCACCGAAATATTCTTATGTTCCCTCACTCTCAGTTACTGTCAACTATCAAGACGCCTCAGGTTATTATTGATGTGGAGATGCATGTTTTAATGCAGCACCTAATTTTGAGATTTGGATATGTCAAAACAATTAACACACAGCTGTCAGAATATCCCACAATTCTCAGCTGGCTTCTCCCATTGGTCATAGGCTCTCGAACCTTCTTAATGGGGTTCCAGATCTACTGCCAACACATGCGAGCACACACACAATATGAAGAAGGAAATTCAAATTTCCTGGTGCTCGCAATGTCGACGCTAACTTGAGAAGAGGTGCATACAAGGTTTGCAATTATGGCCATTGAGTGATGGAGATATACGGCATGGAAACAGATCCTTCGGTCCAATTTGTTTATGCCGACCAGATATCCGATATAAATCTAGTCACATTTGCCAGTATTTGGCCCACAGCCCTCTAAAACCCTTCCTATTCATATATCCATTCAGATGTCTTTTAAATGATGTAAGCATACCCGCCCCCACCAGTTCCTCTGGCAGCTCATTCCATACACACACCACCCTGTGCGAAAAAGTTGCCCCTCGGGTCCCTTTTATATCTTTCCCCTCTCACCTTAAACCTATGCCCTCTAGGTTTGGACTTCCCACCCCAGGGAAAAGACCTTGCCTATTTACCCTATCCATACCCTTCATGATTTTATAAACCTCTATAAGGTTACCGCTCAGCTTCCACGCTCCAGGGAAAATAGCCCCAGCCAATTCAACCTGTCCGTATAGCTCAAAACTGCCAACCCTCGTAAATCTTTTCTGAACCCTTTCTAGTTTCACAACGTCCTCCGAGTTGGAGGGAGACCAGAATTGCACGCAGTACTCCAAAAGTGGCCAAACAAGTGTCCTGTACAGCCACCACATGACCTCCTAACTCCTCTACTCAATGCACTGACCAATAAAGGCAGGCATACCAAACGTCGCCGTCACTATCCTATCTACCAGCGATTCCACTTCAAGGAACTGTGAACCTGAACTTCAAGATCTCTTTGTTCAGCAACATCCCCCAGAACTTTACCTTTCTGCCTGACCAGTAAAAAAGCCACAAAAAATGGATGGGAGTCTGGAATTTGCAGTCAAAAAAATAAATAATTTACTCTCTCTAACATGTTCCCGCCTCCATTTGGAAATGAAAATCCAGCCCAGTTTCTGTCTCTGCAGGTGTTACTAAACTAACTGAATATTTCCAGCATTTTCTGTTTTTACGTTCAAATTATTTACTTATCACTGGCAATGTCCATGCAGCAGTTCCTTTCTGCCATAGATGGTTGACTGCTTTCCAGGTGTAATACACCTTCAGAATCTATCTTTATTCGTTCTGTACTCGAGCATAATATTAGGAGTAGTCTTCTTTGCAATTGTAAAGGTGTATGGTTTATTGATGGCTTTCTTCCCAAGGAAGCCAATTGTTTGCCCTTTTTACCTGACCTTAAGATTGTGCATGCCTCAAGATACCAAATCTTTTAATCTGACCATGCAGTTTTCGTCTGCTTAAGGAAAGAGAAATTTGAGGCTGTTTCTTCCTGTTTATGAAAATTCATGTTGTTTAAATGAGAAATATCATAGCATTTTAACTATGTTTATATGAAAGGAGAACCCGGCTCATGTTGAAAGTCAATTCAATACCTTATTCCAAAAGTTTAATGTGTGCAATGTGTTTGCTTTTATAACTAGTCAACTCTAATAGCAGTTAACAACTATACTTTGTAGTGGTGCATCAGAATGTTTTCCTATAGAATATGGTTTTCCTACTGGTGCAGTATTGGCTGAGGTTATCGGTGAGACTCTGAAGAAGAGTTCAGATACTTTGACTCAATTACAAGTGGTTTTTGCACTCAGTGTCACTGCTTATGCTCAGAAAATGATGAGGAAAGAAAGAAGCTAAATGATCATTCCATTTAAAATTGAGGGGTGAATAGAAGTTACAAAGCAGGGAAGCAAAATCACGTGCGTTCCAGCTAGAATTGGAGATACGTGGAAACTGATGCCATTCAGCTGCCTTTTGCACTGCTGCTTATTCAGTTAATTTCAAGAGACAGGTAGTGTAGTAATAGTAATATATTGAATGTAGCTTTCTGTCATACTTTAGATCAAGACAGAACCATCTGTGCTTTACCATTTATATTAAGTTACCAAATTCTTAGATTATCTGAGAAATGTATTGAGCTTGTATTTAACATGATGTCCCTATGGTTGAAATTAGTACAGAATATGTTTTGACCTCTTTGGTTTGGATTATGCTGCAGTTTGGACAGAGTGACTTCAGGCATGGTTCATGTGAAAATCCCATGTATGATAATTGTTTCTTAAAATATTTGTTTAAAAGAGAAAATGAATTGAAAAACAATTGAATAGCATTTTATATCGACTTTTATGTGCATAAAGGAAGTTGGATTGTAATGTTGAGGTAATAAAGAAATTATACTGAAATGAAAAGTCAATTGTTCCAGACCTCTTTACCTCAATACTGCTTTGTGTTTTCTTCTATTCTGTGTCACTTATTTTGTGTTTTCATGACTTGTCCTTTTATTTTAAGGACCACAACTATGGTGCTCCACCTCCTCCAACACCCCCAGCTTCACCACCTCCACAGACCATCATTGCCCGAGTAGAGCTTAATAGACTACGTTGCCAGCGATATGATGATAATTCTGAAGATAGTGACAGTTCATCTGAGGATGAGAACATTCCTTGGTGCCATTGTAGTTTAACTCAGGATGGTTTTATTATCGCTTGTGAAAATTGCAGGTATGAAGTAGCACTAGACATCTAAGGGAATTTTTGAACAGGCACAGTTGGTTCAGTGATTTGGCATGAACTTCAAAGGAGCTCACTAAAGGAGCACCTCCCAAGAAAAAAAATCATGAGTGAAAGACCAATTAACAGCCGTTTTATTATTGTTTGCAATTAGTTGATTTATGTTTATAAATAGCACACAGCACCGTGTGGTTCAGGATTTCATTGTATTTTTAAAAAACACCAAAAAACTAATGTCACTAAATGGTAATATTTCTCGATGCAACTTCTAGTAGTATTTAATGACTCCTTTTATAATTTACTTTTTATGGAGTAATGTAACACTAAATGTCCGAATGATGTGCGCTAATCCTTTGAGAGAAGCTGAATCAACACTGATTTAAAATTCTTGGTTACAGGTTTGATCATCAGTAATTCATTGTGTTGTAATCGGTGTTGATTTTCACAGGGGGCTGGACAGGCGGAAGGTCATCAGACTGCAGCGCAGGAAGCAGGAGAATGTGTCTGGTAAGGAGAAAACATTTATTTGGATGCTTTTTTTCTCTTCATTTTATTATTAGTACGGAGTACAGTCTCAATGATTTAGCAATGATATTTTATAACATTTTGTTCTACTGTATTTAGATTTTTTTGTTTTAAAAGGGAACCAGTGATTTCAAAACTACTTGGTAGGAAGTAATGCTGGGACACCATTCTGTGAGAAAATATTGAACAAATGCAGTGGCCCTGAGGTGTTAAAACAATGGTATCAATCTTTGGCACTGCTGAGTGTGGTAACTCTTGCTGAACAACACTTCCATTTTTAAAAGGACTAGTTCTCATTTCAAAAAGTTTTAAACAATTCAGAAGCACACTGGTTTTTGTTCATTCAGCATTTAACTGTTGTTCACTTAAAAAGCTTGCAGTGCTGTTAAAATTGTTAATTGTTCAATTAGGACATTCTCACTCATGATTCACCATGTGGTATCTCTCGCACTTCGTGTAACAATCCACAAACTGCAATTTATTCTTAATATTATGCTTATTCTGCAAAAAGCCTGCTAATGAAATAGAGGAGAGAAAGCTTATTCCATCTACTTGTAAAAGTAACTATTGCACTTTGCAGTATTTGCTGCAGCAAACAGGTGCAGTATATATAGTCCTGTTGATGCACTGAGTTATTCAGTGTTTCGTAGTGAATTTCTTGAATCTACAACTGAAGTTAAGACAATGGAGCTGACAAGTCATCCAGGAAATTGACTTCACTTGTTTAACGAATTTATGGATGAAATCATCTTTCTCCACAGGTGGAGATAGCAGTGCAACTGAGAGTGGGGATGAGGAAGTCTCCCCATCGACAGTGTCATACACCGCGACACAACACACACCCACCAGCATCACACTTACAGTCAACCGAGTAAAGAGAGCCAAGGCGAAGAAGAGAAAGAGAAGCACAGAAAAAGCAAGAAATGCCCCCAAAACCAAAAAAATCAAGGTAGGTATTCAAAGGAAGCGTCTGCACATGGAATGCAAGTTCAGAGTTTTGGTGGAGTTTTACTTTTCTAAGACTTCAGAATGTCAGTTGCTGCAACTTGAACGTTTGAAAATAGAAACCACGTCTTCAAAGACTAGAATAAAATATAATTTTACACTTCCAGCATAAATTTTCAAATTGAAGTTGTGAAAATATAATACAGCTATAACAGAGACCTGCCTCAAAGAAGGGCTTGATAGGATATTGAATATTTCAGGTGTTTTGAAAATTTACAAAAGAAGGTGTGGCTATATCAATTAAGGGGAATATCGCAGTGCTGGAGAGAGAAAATGTTTTAAATGACTCAAAGATAAAACATATTAGAACCAAGGAATAAAAGTGGTGTACCAAAGGGGTTTCTGATTTCTAGCATCTGCACTTCTTTGTTTTTTGTTTAGTGTCAGAAAGGTGTAATTGCATTGCTGAGCACATTGCCTCCAGCAGCTGGAAAGATGTTGAGAAACAATTTTGCAAGGAAATTACAGTAAGGTGTGAGAATTATAATGCAGTTACAGTGAAGGAGTTTAATTATCTGAATAAAGACCATAATAATAATAATAGTTGTTGTAGTAGTAGTAGTAGTAGTAGTGGTGTAAAGCAGACCGAAGGGCATGATCTCCTAGAGGACCTTCAGGAAAACTTTCTATAGCAATATGTTTTCCATTCCAATTTGAAAGGATGCACTGTCAGACCTGAATCTTTGTCATGAGTTAGGCCAAGTATCAGTCAGGGAGAATTTATGGAACAGAAATCATTGAATCAGAATGTTTAGATTAGCTATGGAAAAGGTTAAGGAACAATCAGGGTGAGAATAATTAACTGGGGCAAACAAACTTCAATGGGACTTACTGGATTTGAACCAGATAAATTTGATTTAAAGTTTGGCAGGCAAGACTAACAAAAAAATTGGCTACCTTAAAGAAGGTAGAGTTTAGCACAATCAATGTATATTCCCGCAAAGGTGAAAAGCAGGGCATAAAAGCATCCACTGCTCCCTGGATAACAAAAGATGCAGGGATTAAGAAAAAGTATGCTTATTGACCAGATGTCAGCTAGATAATGCAATTCAGAACCAGTCTGCTTATAGAAGGTTCAGAGGAGGATTGAAAAAGCAAAGAAAGGGACAAGACCGGTAACTAATTTTAAAAAAGTAATTGAAAAGTCTTCTATAGGCATATAATTAGGAAGAATGCTAAAAGGAGGAGTGGGGTCAGTTAGAACCAAAGAGAGAATTTACGCATGGAGGCAAGACTGAGGCATGAAATGAATGCTTTGCATTTGTTTTTACCAATAAGAAGATGCTTCACAGGTCAGTAAGAAAGGGATAATTTAACACTTGAAGGGTTTAAAATTGATGTATGAAGTATTAATTAGGAATTAAAAGATATGGAATGATAGGTACTGAAAAGACACCATGGTGAGATGGGGTGCATCCAGAGATGCTGAAGGAAGTGAGAGTGGAAATTGTGGGGGCATTGACCGTAATTTTACAATCTTTTGTAGACTTTAGGTTGGTGTCAGAGGGCTGAAGCTAGAAACTTTAAAACACTGTTCAAAAATGATGTAAAAATAAGCCCAACAACAGCAAGCCAGTAAATTTAATGTCAGTGGTGGTGAAGGTTCTGTCATAACCGAGTTGGGAAGAGTTACACTATCTTTCTCTAAGCTGTTAGTCTTTCAAAATTTAATTGTATTATCCTGTCCCAATATGACCAGTTGCATGCTTTTTTTATATTGTACTTGGAATATAATGATCTATCAAATAGGTTTATTTAATAAACAACAAATTGGTGACCTGTTCTCAAAAATCATATTACAAGAAGATAAAAAGCTGATTACCACACAGTTTGTAATTTGGAAATGGAGATGCATACTACTCTCAATAACTCCAAGCACAGGCCTACGCACAAAAACACACCCCAATCACACTGCAAAAAGAGTAAAGAATAGATCTCTATCTACAGCAATTCACTTGTGGAAATATTTGTCTAATAAGTCTTAGTTCTTAAAGGGAGTTAAAAAAGGTGAGGTGTGGAATGTTCAGATGGCTGTCCATCTGATGTTTGAGCATGTGTAGAGACATGTCACCAACATAGCCAGATTTCTCAGGGCACCTGGCAAATGCAACTTGCTCAGAAACACAGTATCAAGAGGTCTTCCAGTCACTATTCAATCAGAATAATCAGGTTTCACACTGGATTCACTATAAAACTGCCTCAGTAATAGGAGATATGAGCTGAGCAGTTCTTTTCATCAAACCTTCTCAACTGAAATTTAAGCCTGCAAAATACAGTTCAAATGGAATAGCCATAAAACTCAGAGGTAAAAATAGGTGCTTCCCTTAAAGTGTATTCAAGCAACAAGCTCAGCATTATCTACCACAGTGCGGTTTCTAAGAAATCCCTTGCATTAAAAAAATAGTTCCAATGTCCTTTCATTCACCTGTTTAAAAAAATCCAGACACCCACAATACTTTAAGCTCGAGTCCATAAAATATTGGATACAGGAACCCATCTTAAAATGAATAGTTAACTTGAACAAATGCACACTAATTGGAGAAAGCCACTATAGATTTGTTTAGGGAAAATCCATGTTTATTTCATAGAATCCCTACAAGTGGAAGCAAGCCATTTGGCCCATGAATTTACGCCGAACCTCAAAACAGCATGCCACCCAGACCCAACCCCCTACCCTATCCCTATAAACCCGCATTTCCCATGGCTAACCCACCTAGCCTGCACATCATTGGACACCATGGGCAACTTAGCATAGCCAGTACACCTAACCCCCACATCTTTGGACTGTGGGAGGAAACCGGAGCACCCAGAGGAAACCATGCAGACACAGGGAGAATGTGCAAACTCCGCTTAGAAAGTTGCCAGAGGCTGGAACCTGACCCGGATCCCTGGCGATGTGAGGCAGCAATGCTTACCATTGAGCCAGCGTGCCGCTCATATTTAACTTGCTGAAGTTTTTTGATGATGTAACTGAGGATTTGTGAAGGTAGTGATGTTGTGTAAATGGATTTCTCTCATAAAATAAGAGTCAATACCAATATGAATACAAAATGGATGAGTGGTAGGAAACAGAATTTAGTGGTTAATGGGTGACTTTGAGACTGGAAGGAAGCTTATAGTTATGTTTTCTAGGATTTGACGTCAAGACCCACGTTCTTCCTGAAATTGAATAAATACCTTAGTATTTATGGCACAATTTCAAAATTTACAGACTGAATACTAAACTTGAATGTAATGTGAATTTTGAGAAGGATGATGTAGAGTTTCAAAATATGCAGAAAATTTGTTGGAATGGACAGATGAGTGACAAGTGGCAAATGAAATTGAATCACTTTAGACTTCCCTGCATTAATTGTGTTGGAAGACTACAGAGAAACAATATAAAACAAAGTGTGCGATTTTAAAAAGGGTGCCAGACCTGAGGGATCTGGATGTAATTGTACACAAATCAATGAAGGTGGCAGGACAGATGGAGAGAGTTAAGAAAACATACAGCATCCTAGGACTTATTAATATGGACATGGTGTACAAAAGCAAGGTGGTTGCTGGTGTTTTAACCTTGTTTAACACACTAGTTCAGCCTGTACTGGAGTATTGCATCCAACTCTGAGGCCATTTGGGCTGAGGAGTCGCAGATGGAGTTTAATTTGGATAAATGTGAGGTATTGCATTTGATAAAGCAAACAAGGGCAGGACTTATACAGTTCATGGTAGACCCTGGGTAGTGTTGTCAAACAGAGAGACAGAGGAGTTCAGATACATAGTTCTTTGAATATTGCATCACAGTCAGACTGGGAGGTTATGAAAGTATTTAGCAAGCTTGCCTTCATTGCTCAGGCCATTGAGTATAGGAGTTGGGGCATCATGTTGAGGACATTGGCGAGGCCTCTTCTGGAGTATTGTGTGGCAATCTGGTTGCCCTGCTATTGAAGGATATTTTTAATTGGAAAGAGTTCAGAGAAAATTTACCAGGATATTTCCAGGATTAGAGGGTTTGAGTTATAAGGAGAGGCTGGAAAGGCTGGGACTTCTTTCACTGGAGCGTAGGAGGTTAAGGGGTGACCTTTATAGAGTTTCGTAAAATCATGTGAGGCATAGATAAGATGAAAAGCAAAGTCCTTTCCCCTAGGATGGGGAATTTCAAAACTAGAGGCATATTTTTAAGGTGAGAGGAAAAAAATTTAAAAAGGACCTGAGGGGCAACTTTTTCACACACAAGGTGGTTTGTTTTTGAAATGAACTGCCAGAGGAAGTGGTAGAGGCTAGTACAATTACAACATCTAAAAGACATTTGGACAGGTACATGAATAGACAAGGTTTAAAGGGACATAGGCCAAATGCAAGCAAGTGGGACTAGTTTAGTTTGGGAAACCTGGTTGGCATTGACAAGTCAGACCAAAGGACCTGTTTCCGTACTGTATGACTGACTCAATGTCTAGGCATTAGGGAGAGTGCCAAAAAGATTCATGAGTGGTTCCAGGGATAAGGAACCTATGAAAATAGATTGAAGAATTTGTCATTGTTTCCTTTTGGAGAGGGGAAGGTTAAGAGGAGGCCTGATAGAGAGATCCCAAATTATGAGGGTCCAGACAGGGTAGATAGGGAAAATGTTTCCCATTGATAAATAGGATACGAGCCAGAGTGCTCAGATTTAAAGTAATCAACAAAAGCAACAATGGGACTTGAACAGAGATAACAGTGTGGAATTGGAGGAACACAGCAGGCCAAGCAGCATCAGAGGAGCAGGAAAGTTTTCAGTTCGGGTTGGGACCCTTCTTCAGAAATCCTGAAGAAATCCAGAATTTCTGAAGAAGGGTCCCGACCCGAAATGTCAACTTTCCTGCTCCTCTGATGTTGCCTGGCCTGCTGTGTTCCTCCAGCTCCACATTGTGTTATCTCTGATTCCAGCATCGGCAGTTCTTACTATCTCATGGTGACATGAACAATTCTTTTTCCCCAAATGTAAGTGATTAAGATCTGAAATACACTATCTTAACATCTGGTGGAGGCAGTTTCAAGGTATTCAGGAAGGAATTATTATCTGAACAGGAAGACTGCAGGGCTCCAGGAAACATGTAAAAAAGTTTTGCCAATTGATTTGCTCCTTCAGCCATCCAGCATGGATGTATAACACCAAATGGCTTCCTTCTGTGATTCTATCTGTACAGCCCTAAAAGATTGGGATGCAGATTTTCCAAGGTCTGCAAGGTTTAGTTCATCTGGAGTTAAGCCTAGTGAGTCTCCCAATTCTGTGTTCTGATCTCTTAACGTCATTTTTTCTATAGCTTTAATCTAACAAAAAACAAGTCAGCAATGACAGCATTTCTTTCGATAGTTAATGATTTTTTTGGAAGTAGAAGCAAGGTCCTTAGAAATGTATCAATATTTGCAGGGGATTTTCTCTACATGGCAGTATTTGAAAACAAATCATTCCCAAAACAAATTTGGGGCATCTAATTTAGCAGAAGAATTTAAGATGCACAGTCAATACATTTAACTTTTACTGTGCAGTAAGGAGAAATACCCACAGTACTCTAAATTTGCCATAATAAGTTGCATCTACTGTACGGACACTGGGTGCAGTGAGGGTCGTGATGGAGATAGGGGATAGGGATTAGCAGATTTTCACTGCAGATTGGAGACATTGAAGTAAATGATTGTTCCATTTCCTGTACCAGGTACTATAATTTACTCCTAGAAAACAAATATCACTGGACTATACCAGGAACAAAACTTTTTGAAATGTAACTTAATATATTAAGTCCAGTTAAGAAACCATGTAGGGAACTTGCTTCATTCACCACCATGTTAATTACGTAACAGCAGTTGCTATGCTGAAAATGTGGTTATTTGTCTCTGAGGGAACATACAATATATAAATAGAGCTATCTTTATATTTCCATCTAAAGCTCTGTTAGTTAAAGAGCTGAGACGTTAAATGGATGATCACTCATGTAAGCTGGTGCTTGGTTGATTCTGACTCGTGTGTTTTATTGAGGTTTTCTTTTATTTTGAAAAATGTTCCTGATATGGGGTCTTACATCCCGCTGGGCAGGGTTGATAGGCCGTTTACATTATTGCAAAATAATCATTTAAGATTTTGTTATCTGCAGGCCTTTCGTGAAGGGTCCAGAAGATCCATGAGGATGAAGGTAAGGATAGAATGGTAGATTTGCAGTGTCAGATTTCCTTCTGGTCTTTTGAAATTGGCAGATTTTGGCTAAGTAAAAATATATGCAACAATTTTCAGATTGAGTTTTGAATCATTAATAAGGCTGGACCACTTCCCACTTAAAGCTGTTGGACATAATTTGTTAATTGCTGGTTGATTTGTAAATACCCATATTGCAATATTTTTCTTTTGTCCACTGTGCCCCAAGCCTTGATAGCTCATGAGAACCTTTTGCTTTTTTAAAAAAAGTAAATTAAAGCGTTGCTGAAAAAAATATGCATTATGTCAAAGTTGTTGCATCTTGCACCTCATCAGGACGTTTCGTATGAATACAAATTCAAGAGAAAAACATTTGTACAGCATGGGAGAAGAGTGCAGATTGGCAAGTGGACTCTGGTAGAGGCATGATTGTGGGGAATGCACCATTAATGCTGAATGGCAATCAACAACCAGTCTTGTTAAATTTTAAACCAAGTAGGTTTACTCTAATTGATCAGACATTGCCTGAGAAATGAACCAAGAAATGGCTGTCACCTATTTTGTTGTGTTGGAATTGAGGCAATGGATGTGCATGTTCTGTATGCAAAGAATGGCGCCCTATGTATTAACGTATATAGCTTCCAGTGCACGTAATTACCCAACAGCTCGAGCCCAATTGACAGTCCTCAATTGATATATGAATTTCAGTGCCAGTGTGATGCCAGGCGGACAGGTTTTATGACCCAAAGACTGGCAGATTGTATCAAACAAGGTGTCCCTTTGGCTGCTTGCAACAAGCAAGATACTGACTGTACCCAACCCACTGTCACTTGAAAACCTTGCAACACAAAATCTATCGTTAGAGGTGATTTTGCAATTAAACAATCTTTGCTGGATAATCCTGAATGTGCAAACTTTTAGGCTGGCAACGAATTTACCATTGTCAGTCAGGCTTACAGTGTGGCACACGTATGTGCACTGGAATCTACATGTAATAATACATAGGACCCTGGTCTTTGCAGCCAGAAAGAACACAAACACGACACCTGTTTCAACTTGACGCGATCTGCTGGTTGATTTCTCAGGGCAATGCCCTGACCAACCAGAGCCAACCTGTTTGATTTAAAATTGAACCAAGTCTGGCTGTTGGCTGTCAGTCAGCATTAATGGGTGCATTCTCCACGGCAATGCCTCAATAAATCAGAGTTCATTTGCCAACCAATCAGAACTTTATTCTCATGCAGTAAACGTGTTTGTTTTCCTCTTGCATTTGTATTCTTTCAAAATTTCCTGATGAGTGCAAAATCATTAGTTCCAATAAAATGTCTTTTAAGCAGTACTCGAGTTCTGCATGACCAGCAGTGATTTAAAATGAAGCAGTCATCCAAATCTTTCAAGAAGTTCTATTTTGTTTTGGGAAGTTTCTTTATCTATATCTATAATTATTCTTTCTCCAGTTTGTTTTTGAATGGCCTATATGCTATCAATAATTATCACTCACCATCTCATCGCAGCTTTGCAATTATGAAGCTCAGAATCTTCAGTCTTTGTTTCATTTCATAGTCATCAAACTTGTAAAGTCTAAAGCTTAGAGGCTAATCATTACTTTTATCTCTTTTTGAAACTCTTAAATACGTCAGGGCATCCTTTACCTTGGTTTTCCAAGAGCTTTGCAATCAAAAATATATATAATGTTATATCCAGAGACTGCAGAGATCCTGTGCAACACAGCTCTTGAGCCAACTCTGCAAAAGAACATAAGCGTTGTCTGTTTGGTTTTTTTCATGTAATTGTGAATAGGAAGGGAAGTGGGCAGTTTTCTTCAGTTATTTGTTCAATTTACTTAAATGAGTGAGATCACATTATGATAATCACAAGTCTGAGTTCCAGTTCTTTTACTTCCTTGCATTGTATGTATTTGGCTACCTAGTTATGTTCTGAATTTTGGCAGCTTCGGCATGGTTATGTCAATTAAAGCACATCCTAGTATGACAAGATCCAAAATGGAATGACTGATATCAGACAAAAATACTTCTCAACTTTACAAGGATTTAGCTGTTCTAAATAAAACAATTTACACTCGACACATATGTTGTGGCGACCAGGGATTGCCAGCAATAGATGGGGGAGGGGGGAGGTGAGAATTTAAAATTACAGTTCTACTCACAATTTTTAAGTCAAGTAATATTCCGAAACTAAATGTAAACTGAGAATTTGAAGAATTTACGTTTCTCTCATCAGTCATCTTTTCAGTACCGAAACATGTTTAGTTTGTTCAATTTTGCTGAATTTTATATTTAGAACTCACTGTCAGAAGCTCATGCGTTGGATGAAAATACAGCAGAGGGTTGGGAGAACAGGATCCGACTCTGGACAGATCAGTATGAGGAATCTTTTGCAAATCAGTACAGTGCAGATGTACAGAACCTTTTAGAATTGTATCGATTAACCATGAAGGATGCTGTGGGAAAAAATGTGCTGGATACTATTAATAAAACTGAACTAGCCTGTAACAATACAGTTCTGGGCTCTCAGATGCAGGTAAGTGTTAATTGTGTTTCAAATTTAGTAATACGCTGGCAGAGAGCATTAACTCAGATTTCAATTAAGCAAATAAGAAGAGTCGTTGAGTTTCAAGATTATGCATGTATTACTTCATTTTGCAAATAAATGTAAGACTGATTAAAGATTAGCTCTAAAATCAGCTTTCGCTGCTAGCTTATAGAAATAGGGCAGGAAGAAATCTGACTTAAACAACCTTCTGCTGAGTTGGGAATACGAAAACACAATTTGGAAGCAGAAGTAGGCCGCTCGGCCCTTTGAATCTGCCCTGCCATTCATTAAGATGGCGGCTGATCTAATTACCCCATATTCCTGCCTACTCCTATAAACTTGAACGTTAGTCAACAGTGAATCTACTAGATAGTCCCTCAGGATATGCAGTTTAATTTATAATATTACACTTACAATTTGTTTCAGAAAATTAACAATTATTTAGTTTATTTTATTTTCATTCACCCAAATTATTCTTTATGTTGTGAAAGCCAACCAATTCAGTTGGATATTCCAAATAATTAGCAAAGTAGTAACTTTATTGTACTATTTTCCTACTGTTGATAGCTACAGCTTGGTAAAGTCACGAGAGTTCAACGTCATCGCAAAATTTTGCGAGCAGCCAGAGATCTAACACCAGGCATACTTATCATCGAATACCGTGGTAAGGTGATGCTAAGGCAGCAGTTTGAAGTTAATGGACATTTCTTTAAAAGGTAAGACATTATTAGAAACTCGCATGCAATACTACCTTCTGTGAGTTTTACTGTCTCAAAATTGAGACAATTTGGAGCTTTGTCATAACTATTGAAGTTGATTCGGAAGTTTATTTCTAAGATCTAACAATGCATCTTTTTATCCCTCTTTGAAAAGCTAACTCAACAGAAAATAAATTGCATTATATAGTGAATTAATTACGATATCTCTATTGCTATGAATGGGGAATTGTCAGGGCAGATATTTAGTAAGAGTAATGGAAAGTAAACTAAACTTGACATCGTGCTTTGATAAACATTAACTTTACATTTCACTCCTCATTTAAAAAAAGCAGTGTGAATTCTCCATTCCTTTCAACCTATGGTTGAAAATACTGACAATATTGATTCATTCAGCTCACCTATGAAGAAAGGTATTTTGGGAGGTTAAGTTCCAATGCATGGTTACAAAAATCTTGCTTGTTACCTTGCCTTACAGACCCTACCCGTTTGTGCTGTTCTACTCAAAATTCAATGAAGTGGAAATGTGTGTCGATGCTAGAACATTTGGGAATGATGCTCGGTTTATTAGAAGGTCCTGTGCCCCCAATGCAGAGGTCTGTTTTTCTGATTACCTGGACATTTCTGCGTGTTTAATTATATAGGTTATAACATGAAGTGTGCTGAAATTATTTTTTAAAATATGATTAAAAATTAACCATGCCAACCACAATGCTGTGCTTCTGAGTAAAAATGTTGTTTGTATTTCTGTAAAAATACTTTTTTAAATGTAAGCTTTGTTTTAATGTGTTGCTTCTGGACATGATATTTGTGAGGTTATAGATTGAGATATTGAATTATGAAGCAGCTCTATTGTAAAGATGAGTCTGTCTATAATCAATCTTGTGCGAAACAAGTCCAAACTATAAGAAACCTAAATTGGATCATGATGTTAACATTTGATTACATTTAATTTGTAATCTGTAGAAATTACACCCTTCATTGACTAGCAGCATTTTGCAAAAATCCATTATTAAAAAATAAGAAAAACAAAACTGAGAAGTTTGTATTGGTTTGACTACTGCAAATGGATGTTAGATTGTTGTCACTTTACTGGCTAGGATGAGCGTGGAGAATGATCTCTGTTAGTAATATTTAGGTATATTTGTTGGCAAGTTACGCCCAACCTACACTATTCCACTACACTGTCGTATCTGATTCAGAGGAAATGTCAAGAGCTACCCACTAGTTTCTCCCCCCAGCCCATAATGTCACATTACTCTTCTTGAGTTTTCTCATTTATTTGGACAGTTAATTGTTGACATCTAGACTTTTGAATAGGCAACTTTGGTATTTATATAAAATTAATTAACTTAATTGTGTTGTGGTATAAAGTTTTCCAGAGAGCTTCCTGAACTAAACATTGTGCTGTCTTATCTTACTTCTCCAAATATGAGATAATGAAGAAACTGCGTTGCTCAGATACAAAACATCTCTACCTCACCCCTCACTGTTTTAGTCTCCATTTCTTTGTCTCCCCAGACTGTTGAAACTTCAAGTAGACTTTTGTCTCCTGGAAAATCCCAAGTAATGGGTTCAGGAAATTTTAAGCTGTGGTTAAGTTTGTCTCTTTAACAGCACAGCCATATGATACCCTATAATAGATGTTATCTGATAAAGGTTCTAATGTCACAAGTGTGAGTCTAAGTCTAGGATAGTACTAGTCACATTTCTAATTTTCAAAAAAAATTTAACCTATTTTTCTAATCAACCTGTTCAGAGATATTAAATGCGTCTCTGGAGCAGGTGTGACTTGAACCCAGGCCGCCTGGTCCAGTGGTAGGGACACTACTCCTGAGCCACGAGGGCCGCTCTGGTCACATTTCTAAGCAGTCCAAGTATGTTGGATTCATGACAGTTGCCATTTGTTTAAAAAAAACGGGATCTGGATGTTGCAGAGATAGTAGGAACTGCCGATGCTGGAGAATCTGAGACAACAAGGTGTAGAGCTGGATGAACACAGCAGGCCAAGCAGCATCAGAGGAGCAGGAAGGCTG